AAAAAACCTTGCTCACCAAACAACCATCAATTCAAATCAGGTACTTGCGTCGTTGACGTACCGAGTTATCTGGTGGATCTGAAAAACTACCTCGTGATCCATCAATCAAAACATAAAAGGCTCATCACACTATCCCCAGGATCACGGTAAAAAAAAACTATCCCCAGGATCAACATGAGTGTTTGACTTGGGTATACTTTTTTCCTATTTCAGGTATTTCACACGCCACAGAAAGGACGACGTACTAGTAGTTCACGGATCTGGTTGGTTTCGAAAATTTGCATGTGTATAGGTTGTAGGCCTGTTTAGGCGCATAGCGGGGCGAGGGTTGTGGTGTGTGTGGCGTGTGTGTCGTGCATCTGATTGGGTTCTACAACTTTGTATCTGTATAATCCATATCCATACCTCCATACCTAATAATAAAGGAGCTATTGCTTCTGCCGGTACGTTACCGAAATTGCCCTTAAATTTGCAAAATATTACCCTCCGATGCCACTTATAAGTGATTTTATTTTTGAGAAAAACTTAAAAATGATAAAAAAAACAGTTAACACAGGGGAATCCCGCCTCGACCGGCCCATGTTGTAGGAACCTTCTATACTGCGCTCAATGCGCTGGGAGAAGACGCAACGCACCTATTTGGGCCAGCCCATGTCCAGGCGGCCTGGTTTTAAATTTTGTTTTTTGTTTTTCATTTTCGTTCTCCGTCTTCATTTTTTTATATTTTAAATAATTTGGGACTTCAAACAAGTTTCGAAAATTTAAAAAATGAGATATTTTAAATAAAATGTTTAATAATTCATAAATGTTTTTGGATTCAGAAAATATGCATGATTTTACAAAAATGTATGCATATTTAAAAAAATGAAAATAAGTATTCGCGAAAGCAAAAAATGTTCATTATGTTTTTTAAAAGTTCGCCTATTAAACAATGCTAATGAAATAGAAAAACAATTCGCCAATTCAAAAAATGTTCGTGAATTAAAAATTATCCCAAAAATTCAAAAACTGTTTGTGACTTACAAAATAGTTAATTGATTCAAAAAAGTTCGCTGATTCGAAAAATGATCATGCATTTCAAAAAATGTTCATTAAAGAAAAAAATGTTTGTGAATTTCAAAAATTGTTCCACCAAACAATTTTGAAAAAAATGTTCATCAAACCTAGAAATATTATCCTATTAAAGAAAAATGATTTAAAAAATGTTTACAAATAGTATAAAATGTTCATGATTTTAGAAAATATTCGAAAATCTGTAAAAAGGTTCAGAGATTTGACAAATGCTCATGATTTCAGATATGTTCACGAGATTAAAAAATGTTCATGATTTTCAAAAGCTGTTCACGATTTCATGAAAATGAGAGTGGTTGTGTATCTAGGTGATGTAGCAAAATATGGTCATGGCCATTAGAGATTATGAATTTTTTTTCTCCCGTTGCAAGTACGGGCGTTTTGCTAATTGGTTGCTAATTGGGGCTACAGTGCGTAAAAGGCTCACCAGCACATGGTCAAACAGAAAACACGAATCTCAAAGCGCATGCCGCAAGAACCCAACGGAGGTACGCGCCGGTCGAGTTGGCAGAAGAATCTTCTTCGGTTGAGACGTTGCTTTCCCTGTCCACCTCCCCCATCCCAAGATCCAACCCAGATGCACTGTAATCGTTGGCCACCATCTCCTACCTACCGTTGCTTGATTTCAAAGCGCCCGATCGCTCGCTCGCTCACTCACTCACTCTCTGAAGGGAGCTACTCCACTCCACTAGCTAAGCCACACACCCACCCCACAGCCATACCAAGCACGGTACAGAGAGCGGAGCGGAGCCATGAGCAAGGACCGGCACGAGCACCACCTGCGGCGCTGCTGCGGCGGCCTCGCGGCGTGCCTCCTGTTCCTGGTCGTCGCCGTCGCCGTCACCGCGCTCGTCGTCTACCTCGTGCTCCGCCCCGCCAAGCCCTCCTTCTACCTGCAGGACCTGCAGCTCCGCTCCGTCAGCCTCGGGGACCCGTCCCTGTCCGCCACCGCGCAGGTCACGCTCGCCTCCCGCAACCCCAACGACCGCGTCGGCGTCCTCTACCGGCGCCTCGACGTCTTCGTCACCTACCGCGAGGAGCCCGTGACGGTGCCGGTTTCGCTGCCGCCCGCGTACCAGGGCCACCGGGACGTCACCATCTGGTCCCCCGTGCTGTCCGGGGAGTCCGTGCCCGTGGCCGGGTTCGTCGCCGACGCCATGAAGCAGGACATCGCCGCCGGGTACGTGGCACTGCAGGTCAAGGTCGACGGCCGCGTCCGGTGGAAGGTCGGCAGCTGGGTCTCCGGCAGTTACCACCTCTTCGTCAGCTGTCCCGCCGTGCTCGCCGCCGGCCCTGGTGGCATGCCGACCGGGGGCGCTGGCCTCAACGGTACAGCCAGCCGCGCCGTCGCGTCGCTCAAGTTCACGCAGCCGACAGGGTGCACCGTCGGCACATGATGGAAATTACGTGCCATACGTGCCTACGTGGAAGAAATTACGTAGCTTTTGATTTTTCTGCTTATGTCTCATGTAACGCGAGAATAAAATGTACTAGTTCAAATTTTGGAATTAATTATTGCAATTTGTATTTCTTCGCCGTCGCATCACGATCTATGCATGGAACAACAACGGGCATATCTAAGTTCTTCTGAATGATTTAAAATCTGAGTGCGGCATAAAAGTGTAGTACGGAGTACTGTGTAGTTTTTCCACGAGGTCGACCTGGTCGACGATCGCACGTACGATCACACAACCGATAGATGGATGGACGATAGCTAGGGAGATCGTGGAGTTGATAGGGAACAACCACCCAACAACACATAACAAAAGTGGCAGGCAACAGGGCGGTCTAGTCCTGGTCATTCTAGCCGCTCAATGCAACGTAGTGCAAAGGCCGTAGGAAGAGTTTATTGACAAATTAAGAGCAACTTCAATGGGATGACCCAAACAGACGGCGATTTCGTCTGTTTTTTATCTGTTTGGGTCGGCCGCCAACCCGATGTCTGCCCTGTTTCTGATATGGGTCGGCAGCGCGCCCAACGCGCCGACTCATATGTGCCGGCGTAACCGGCTGACCGTTTAATATTATATTGATTTGCATTCAAACATATTGTCAAATAACATAGTTCATCAAATAAAATAGTATAATTTTACAAGCCGGATACAAATAAAAATGTTTCACATAGGTTTGCAAATAAATAAAAGAAGATACATATATTGGTTGCCAACATGAGCCTACATATGCTCAACCAAATTATTTTGCAGTTGCACGTGCGTTTTTCAATCACGCATGTCTTGATGAAGTTGGGTGAACTGTTCAAACATTGCCGCTACTCCATGCTCAGGCACAATATTGTCACCCTGAAACTGAAACCCTTAATCGTACAGACGTTCCGGACGCTCGTCTTCTACGATCATATTGTGCATGATCACGCAAGCAGTCATCACCTTCCACAGTTTCTGCGTGCTCTAGGTATTAGCATGATACCGAACGATGCCCTATCGAGATTGCAAAACACCAAAGGCACGCTCAACATCCTTCCTAGCACTCTCTTGCTCTTGGGCAAATCTTTTCCTCTTCTCTCCATCGGAATTTTTTATGTTTGAACAACGGGCTTGTTGTATCAAAGTAGTCTTTCCAAAGAAGGAATTGTCTGCTTTTTCGGTTGCGATTCAACACCGGAAGGTGGCTTAGAATGGAGCCACGGAACAACAGTCGATGGCTGTTGAGGTGGTGATGGACCAACACGGCAGCCAATATCTCCTCCTCCTCGTCGGACGATGAATCGTCGGAGTCGCAAAGGAAATTGTGAAAAAGTACTCGTCGGCGGAGTCCATTTTCGTACCTTGGCAAACTGTCGAACAACTTGCGGGCATATAGAAGGAGACGGCCGGCGAGGGGAGTCGCGGTGGGCACGGACCAGCAAGCTGCCTTGCCGGGGTCTACGAGCGTGCCGGTCGGATCTGGCCGGGGCGGCGAGGCGGCTTCTTGCTCGCGGGCGGCTGTGCGGTGGGGGGAGCGGCGGCGGGAAGCAGTTTGCTCCCCGACAGCAAAACGACGATGGCGGGCGACATGGGAGTACGCAGCGTTACTGGGCGGATGTGGAGGCGGCGGCAGCTGGCAGAGTCGCCGGCAAAAATGGGCGGCAGCGTCGGCGACGAAGGAGAAGGGCAGGGGTTGTTGTTGGCTGGGGGTGAGGGGGGAGGCCAATGTGCCACCGACCAGCGGGCCAAGGGAGAGGAGAAGGCGAGTGTGCGCGCGTCTGTCGCGTGTCCGCGCCGACACAAATCCGGCTTAAAAATGGACCGGGAATGGGTCGCCCGCGGACGAAAAGCGGGCACGTGTTCGTTTGGGTCGGCGCATTGAATCGCATTTTGTGTCCGCGCCGACCCAAACAGACGCAGGCGAACGAAATGGTCGCCCCATTGAAGTTGCTCTAAAGGTCGTAGGAAGAGTTTATTGACAAATTTGAGCCCTGAAATGTCCGCGGACAATGACCAGGTGGACCTCAGATTCTACCATTTGCAACCACATACCTTATTGTTAGGGACCGTAGCATGCAATTTTAAAAAAATTCTACGAACACGCAAGATCTATCTAGGAGATGCATAGCAACGAGAGGGGGAGAGTGTGTCCACGTACCCTCGTAGACCGAAAGCGGAAGCATTATGTTAACGCGGTTGATGTAGTCGAACATCTTCGCGATCCAACCGATCAAGTACTGAACGTACGACACCTCCGAGTTCAGCACATGTTCAGCTCGATGACGTCCCTCGAACTCTTGATCCAGCAAAGTGTCGTGGGAGAGTTTCGTCAGCACGACGTCATGGTGACGGTGATGGTGATGTGATCCGCGCAGGGTTTCGCCTAAGCACTACGACAATATGACCGGAGGAGTAAACTGTGGAGGGGGGCACCGCACACGGCTAAGAGAATAACGAATCTGCTTTGAGGTGCCCCTGCCCCCATATATAAAGGAGGGGAGGGAGGAGCCCGACCACAGGGGCGCGCCATCGGGGGGAGGGGGGGACTAACTAGGACTCCTAGTCCTAGTCGCCCCCCTTTCCTTTCTTTCGGAGGGGGGAAAGGGAAGGATAGAGAGGGAGAAGGAAAGGGGGCCGCGCCCCCTCCGCCTTGTCCAATTCGGACTCCCATGGGGTGTGCCACCCCTTGCGGGCTCCCCTCTCTCTCCCCTATGGCCCATGTAGGCCCATAACTCCCCCGGGGGGGGGGGGTTCCGGTAACCTCCTGGTACTTCAAAAATACCTGAATCACTCCGGAACCATTCCGGTGTCCGAATACTATCGTCCAATATATCAATCTTTACCTCTTGACCATTTCGAGACTCCTCGTCATGTCCATGATCTCATCCAGGAATCCAAACAATCTTCGGTCACCAAAACACATAACTCATAATACAAATCGTCATCGAACATTAAGCGTGCGGACCCTACGGGTTCGAGAACTATGTAGACATGACCGAGACACATCTCCGGTCAATAACCAACATCGGAACCTGTATGCTCATATTGGTTCCTACATATTCTATGAAGATCTTTATCGGTCAAACCGCAATGACCATATACGTTGTTCCCTTTCTCATCGGTATGTTACTTGTCCGAGATTCGATCGTGTATCATCATACCTAGTTCAATCTCATTACCGGCAAGTCTCTTTACTTGTTCCGTAATGCATCAGCCCGCAACTAACTCATTAGTCACATTGCTTGCAAGGCTTATAGTGATGTGCATTACCGAGAGGGCCCAGAGATACCTCTCCGATACATAGAGTAACAAATCCTAATCTCGATCTATGCCAACCCAACAAACACCTTTGGAGACACCTTTAGATCATCTTTATAATCACCCGGTTATGTTGTGACGTTTGATAGCACACTAAGTGTTCCTCTGGTGTTCGGGAGTTGCATAATCTCATAGTCAGAGGAACATGTATAAGTCATGAAGAAAGAAATAGCAATAAACTAAACGATCATATTGCTAAGCTAGCGGATGGGTCTTGTCCATCACATCATTCTCTAATGATGTGATCCCGTTCATCAAATAACAACACATGTCTATGGCTAGGAAACTTAACCATCTTTGATAAACAAGCTAGTCAAGTAGAGGCATACTAGGGACACTCTGTTTGTCTATGTATTCACAAATGTACTAAGTTTCTGGTTAATACAATTCTAGCATGAATAATAAACATTTATCATGGTATAAGGAAATATAAATAACAATTTTATTATTGCCTCTAGGGCATATTTCCTTCAGTCTCCCACTTGCACTAGAGTCAATATTCTAGATTACATTGTAATGATTCTAACACCCATGGAGTCTTGGTACTGATCATGTTTTTCTCGTGGAAGAGGCTTAGTCAACGGGTCTGCAACATTCAGATCCGTATGTATTTTGAAAATATCTATGTCTCCCTCCTTGACTTGATTGTGGATGGAGTTGAAGCGTCTCTTGGTGTGTTTGGTTCTCTTATGAAATCTGGATTCCTTCGCTAAGGCAATTGTTCCAGTATTGTCACAAAAGATTTTCATTTGACCCGATGCACTAGGTATTACACCTAGATCGGATATGAACTCCTTCATTCAGACTCCTTCATATGTACTCCGCTTCACACGTAGATCCTGCCACGACGCTCTGCATGGAACTGCACCAACTGACAGCTCCACCATTCAATATAAATACGTATCTGGTTTGCGACTTAGAGTCATCCGGGTCAGTGTCAAAGCTGGCATCGACGTAACCATTTACTACAAGCTCTTTGTCACCTCCATATATGAGAAACATATCCTTAGTACTTTTCAGGTATTTCAAGATGTTCTTGACCACTGTCCAGTGATCCACTCCTGGATTACTTTGGTACCTCCCTTCCAAACTTATAGCAAGGCACACATCAGGTCTGGTACACAACATTGCATACATGAAAGAACCTATGCTTGAGGCATAGGGAATGGCTTTCATTTTCTCTCTATCTTCTAAAGTGATCGGGTATTGAGTCAGACTCAACTTCACACCTTGTAACACAGGCAAGAACCCTTTCTTTGACTGATCCATTTTGAACTTCTCCAAAACTTCATCAAGGTATGTGCTTTGTGAAAGTCCAATTAAGCGTCTTGATCTATCTCTATAGATCTTGATGCCCAATATATAAGCAGCTTCACCGAGGTCTTTCATTGAAAAATTCTTATTCAAGTATCCTTTTATGCTATCCAAAAGTACTGTATTATTTCCAATCAACAATTTGTCATCCACATATAATATTAGAAATGCTACAGAGCTCCCACTCGTTTTCTTATAAATACAGGCTTCTCCAAAAGCCTGTATAAAACCATATGCTTTGATCACACTATCAAAGCGTATATTCCAACTCTGATAGGCTTGCACCAGTCCATAAATGGATCGCTCAAGCTTGCACACTTAGTTAGCACCTTTAGGATCGA